GCTGTTCCAACTAGCGGGACTGGCCTGAGGGATTTTAAAGGGGGTTTTAATTACTTTTAAATTGGACATATTTAAATATTTCGTTTTAATCAAATTTTAATTAAGTATATGTATATATGTTAGTATTTTATTCAATTGTCAGCCACCCTGAGTCCGTAAGGAGAAGGGCGGGATATAAATGCAATTAATAAATAAATAAAATAAATAAATAAATAGGGCAGTGGTGGCGAACCTATGGCACGGGTGCCAGAGGCAGCACTCAGAGCCCTCTCTGTGGGCACGCGCACCATCGCCCCAATCTTAGGCCCTCAGCTGGGTTTTATAAAACCTTTTCGCTTTAGGCCTCCGCAAAAAAAAAGGTTCAATCAATCAGTCAATTTCAACTTCTCGCAGGAAAAAAAAAGATCTTGCAAAGTTGGAATTGATTGATTGAACTTTTTAGTCCCACCCAGTCTGCCGTTACCACCGCAGCCACGCCCACCCAATGGGTCACACCCACCCGGTACCCAACGATGCATAAGTTGGTTTTGGGTTGCAGTTTGGGCACTCGGTTTCTAAAAGGTTCGCCATCACTGCTCTAGGGGTTAAAGAAAGCCTACATTATTCATGTTTAACTGCCAGTGGAATAAATGTGAGGTGTTAGCCAAATACATTATTTACTGGGATGAAATAGAAAAGTTCAATCAAGTTCAATAAAAAGTTCAACCATTTCTTACCTGATTATGTAAAAGCTAGTAAAGAATATTCTGAATTTTGCCCACTTTTGATTTTGGCTCTGAAAATACAGTCTTAAGAATTTACTGTATCAAGCTCAGAATTAATTCCAAATTAATATGCCTTTCTTCCAGTTGTTACAAAGTCATTTCTAACAATGCAAGCTATAAAAACTGCAGTTATATCAGAATGCACACAAAACTATAAAACAGTATTTCCTAAAATGTGATCTATGACCCGGTACCAGTTCTTGAGAAAAAAAGCTGCTTCTTAGGAAATATACAGATACTCATTCTCTTTCTACTCTGAAGAGTTGCAAATTTGTCAATATTCTGTTCAAAGGGGAATAAAATAACCATTGCTTTGAAAATTCCAATCACAGTATTGGTAATCAGGCCACTTAAGCTTTAAAAGAATTAACATTATGGATACACAAAAATCTGTCTATCAATTTATACATGATGTTTATACTAACAATCATCCCCCTCAAACAATAGATAAAAGAAATTAAGAATAATGAGAACTACTTGTGCATCTTTTCAGGTGAACGAATTAGGATGCTTCTTTAAAAAAATTAAGTACCTTTATATATTATGAGTCACTAAGAGCTATCAAAGAATTATTTTCTATTTTTTTTAAAAAAATTGCACTTTCTAATGTATTCTTCTAATAAAAAAATTGTCTGGGTTACATATGAACATTCCAACCAATAGTCAAGACAAGTTATCTATTTCCTATTGGCAAAAAGTTAATTTTCTAGATATGGTTTCAAAGGTTTTATTCAAAATTCATTTGAGGACATTTTGGATGATCAATGATTTTATTATTCAGAGCAATATAATCATAAAAGCCCAGTCCAACACAACCAGCATGTATCACAAAGATCTCTGTGATAAAGTGAAAGACAAAAAAGATAAGTATAAAAAATGAAAAGAGAGACACATAACTAAGGCAGAATATCAGCAGACAGCCTGAAGATGAAGTCAGGAAAGCAAAGGCTCAGAATGAAGAAAGACTTGCAACAAAAGTCAAAGATAATAAAAAAAACTTTATTTCAATATATAACAAGAATAAGGTCAAGGAAACAGTCAGTCCACTAAAAAAGAGAAAATGGCAAGAAAGTAACAGGCAGTAGGGAGAAAGCAGAGCTGCTTAACTAATTATTTGCATCAGTCTTTACGCAAAAAGAAACTATAGCCCAACCTACCCAAAACATAACTATAAAAGACAGACTGGAAATAAAAATTAAAATAAGAAAGAAAATGGTAAGAGAACACCTGTCTGATCAATATACATTCTTGATCAATATAAATCACTTGGACATGATGGATTACATCCCAGAGTTCTGAAGGAGCTGGCAGATGTTATCTCAGAACCATTGTACCATATCTTTCAAAAATCCTGGAACACTGGGGAACTACCAGAGGATTGGAAAAATGCTGATGTGATTTCCATCTTCAAAGAAGGAAAAACAGACTCAGGAAACTACAGAACGATCAGCCTAACATCAATACTTGGGAAGATACTGGAAAAAATAATCAAAAAACAGTTCTGTGAACATCTAGAAACAAATAAAGTTGTAACTAGTAGCCAGCACAGGTTTGTTAAAAACAGATCATGCCAAACTAATATTATTTCATTCTTTGACAAAGTGACTAAATTAACAGACCAGTGAAATGCTGTGGACATAACATACTTACACTTCAGCAAGTCTTTTGACAAAGTAGACCACAGCCTATTTCTTGGTAAACTAGAAAAATGTGGGATGGACAGCATCACTACCAGATGGATTTGTAACTGGCTGACAAAAAGTACTCAATGTGTAGTCCTTAATGGTACTACATCTACATGGAGGGAAGTAAGCAGTGTGGTACCACAAGGTTCCATCTTAGGCCCAGTACTCTTCAATATCTTCGTAAATGACTTAGATGAGAGAATAGAAGGGGAACTCATCAAATTTGCAGTTGACACTAAGCTGGCAGGAATAGCCAACACCCAGAAGACAAACTCAGGATCCAAAAAGATCTTGACAAACTTGAACAGTGGGCCCTATCCAACAAAATCAGATTTAATGTGGAGAAAAGCAAGATTTTACACTTAGGTAGGAAAAACCAAAAGTACAAGTACAGATTAGGTGAAACCTGTCTCAAAACCAGTAACTGTGAGAGGGACCTTGGAGTCCTAGTGGACGATCACTTAAACATGAGCCAGCAGTGTGCAACAGCAGCCAAAAAAGCTAATACAATCCTTGGTTATATAAACAGAGGCACAGAATCAAAATCACATGAAGTATTAGTATCATTTTATAAATTCTTAGTAAGACCACACCTGGAATGCTGCATCCAGTTTTGGTCACCACATTACAAAAAAGATGTTGAGACTTTGGAAAAAGTGCAAAGAAGACCAACTAAGAAGATTAAGGGCCTGGAGACAAAAACATATAAAGAACTGTTGCAGGAATTGGGTATGGCCAGTTTAGAGAAAAGAAGGACTAGGAGGGACATTAGCAGTATTCCAGTATTTGAGGGGCTGCCACAAAGAAGAAGGGGTCAACTTATTTTCCAAAGCATCAGAAGAAAAGACAAGAAACAATGGATGGAAATTAATCAAGGAGAGAAGCAACCTGGAATTAAGGAGAAACTTCCTAACAGTGAGGACAATTAACCAGTGAAACAGCTTGCCTTCAGAAGTTCTAGGTAGCTTCATCACTGGAGGTTTTTAAGAAAAGACCAGACAATCACCTATCTGAAATGGTATAGGGCAGTGATGGCGAACCTTTTAGAGACCGAGTGCCCAAAAACTGGCCCCACCCCGCTCCACCCCCTGCCCTGCCCCGCCCCCGCCCGAACCCCATCCCCCACCCCACCTGCCCGCACGGCCACTCACTGCCTCCAGGGCCCACCGCAGATCGCCCAGGCAGCCCAGCAGTGCCATGGCGGCCACGACCTCTGCCCGTGCCCCACAGCATCAACTGTGCGGGATGGGGCGTGAGGGCAGAGTCTTATCTATGCTGCCTGGCTGCCATATCCTTGGCTGTGCTGCTCCGTGTGGGCCACGCTTGGGGGCGACTCTCCTCCAGGGGGGCTGCTGGCGACTCTCCTCCAGGGGGTCGTGGGGGGAGGCGAGGCTGGGGCAACGGCATGTGTGCCCACAGAGAGGGCTCCGAGTGCCGCCTCTGGCACGTGTGCCATAGGTTCGCCACCACTGGTATAAGGTCTCCTGCTTGAGCAGCGGGTTGGACTAGAAGACCTCCAAGGTCTCTTCCAGCTCTATTCTGATTGATTGACAAAAGTTATCATTGTAGCATTATAACATACGGCTAAATATTTACTTAGTGGCATGCTAATAGTGGTACTTCCCTAGATAATACATATCTATGTAGCAGTAATACTTAAAAGTAGTAAAGCATACAAACATTCCATTAATGAAATGATATGAAATAATCTCCCTAAATTTTCTTCTTGTTTCAAGTCACTGAAAGCCTCCTTGTAGAGTTCCGTGGCCTTAAAATGTACAGCCATTTCATATTTTAATGCTAAATTGGATTAAGGTAAAATAAGTGGGAAATCATTGTGGATAACAGTTATTATGGGTGATAGGCAAAGCATCAAGACTTCACTCCTAATGCATCGATATTGATGTAACTAATGGCGAAAGTCAAAATGATGTGGTTACTTTTTTTTTTGCTAATTTTTATATTAATTCTACTTGAATGAAATCAAACTGTCAAGATCACTCTAGTCAATCCTCTTCTCTGTTTGTAAAATTCAGGTATATTTATCCTAGATGCTATTATTATTACAATGTGCAGAGTTTAAAGCCTTCAGTATGAATACACAGTTACTGTTTGTAAAGCAATTTTATTAAAATATAGTTCTTATGGAAAGGATGTGTTTTCAGTTGAGGTTAAACGTTTTCTTAAACATATAGAAATTGCTGTAGCAGTGATCTCTTAAAATGCATTGCATATTCATACATAAGTGACATACTTAAATAAATACAAATAAAATGCTGCCTACCTCTCAATTTAAGTATATTATCTACATGTGGAATGTAGGCAATCAGAAATTGCAAGTACCTGTAGACGCTGATAAGTCATTTCCATGAACATGCTTGTTACCTGAATTTGAAAAGATTCAGGTTAGTGAAGGGAGGAGCACAACTTTCTTAAAAATTGTACCCCGTATCTAACTGCAGAATTTTATTTATTAAAATTAGAAAATACTTTTGCTTTGGGATTAGCACAATTGAAGGGGTCTAGGACATTTAGGCACCACCCTTGGACATGCCCCCTTCGCCCCCAGCCACCCGCCTCACCTGATTTACAGCCAGCTTTCCTCCTTGGCTGGCCTTCCCCCGGTCATTCTCTCTGGACCTCCACCTGTCCATTCGCCCAGAAACCATTTGACTTGGCCTTTGGTTGCACGGAACAAAGAGCTCCCCCAACCAATCAGGTGGTGGGCGGCAGCGATGGCACTGGGGGGGTGACTGAGGGAGCTGTGGGAGGGGCAGCATGCAATATGATCAGTGGCAAGCTGGGGGAGAGAGCAAGAGCTGCGGTGGTATGCGACTGCTAGCATTGCAGGGGGGCGAATGGTGACGGCGTGCCGCTGCTGGTGTTGTGGGGGTGAACAGTGATGGTGCACGGCTGCTGGCATTGCAAGGGGACGAACAGTGATGGCGCGTGGTGGGGAGGCAGCCAAACTGCCCATTCGGCATCAAACTGGGAGGACCAGGTGCGGGGTGGGGAAGGAGGCAGCTGAACTGCCTGTTCACATTAGACTGGAGTCCAGGTACCGAGGCAACAATAGGGAGAGGGATAAAAATGGAAAACTGCCGCTCCACAGGGATTTTTTTAAAAAGCTGTCCGAGATTGATTTGAGGCCAAGGGTTGGTGCCTAAACATCCCATTCCACAACTGAAGGGATCTCCCCCCCCTCAAACTAAATGAAAGCTTACATTTAAATGGATAATGGTTTTATACCTGCTGGTAAACTATTTTAGGTTGTTTGTTTCAAATTATAATCTCCAAGTATTAGATTTAGCTAGAGGTGTTTTTATTGTCACTATCAAAGCACATATATTAAAACTGTCAAAATGAATAATGTTCATATACAAGGTTCTTCAAACATTTTCCGATCAATGAAACCTGGAGAGAATGTTCAAAGCAAGTTCAATATGACTTAATACAGACAAAATCTCAAAATACAGAAGATGCAGTTGAGTCTCTTTTTCATTTACCCTTTCTTGTATTTCCTCTTTCTAAGATTTCCTACCATTTGTCAAAATTTACAAAATTATTTGAAAATTCAAAAATCCATCCAATTCAAGATGCTAAGTACACTTTACTAAGCTGGACATGATGCCAAAAAAGTTATTTACATTTACAAGGGCAGTGTAAAAGACAAAATGCATTAGCTATGGGCATTTTCCTTGTGTCATGAATTGCTGCCTTGATTTCATGGTGTTTTTTCTCAACAAATAACAATTTCTATGTAATTTCAGTTAGTGTTAATGATATATAGCACCTTATATCTTACTCTCACTCAGCCACAAGAAAATAGAATAGTATTATTGTAAAGTCAACTGATTCACTTAACATATCAGAAGCAACTAATGAAATATTGAAAGCTAGTTATGAAAGATTATGCTGTTTCATAATTTACAATATAACAAACAAGCACAACAATTTTATCTGTTTTTCATAGAATAGATTTATATCACCTTAACATTTTATATTGTCGTATAAAAGTTTATTTGGCTATAATGCATCTTAATTTTTTTACTATAACTATAAATAAATTCTTAAAAATCTCTTAGTATGGATTCAAGTTGCTTAAAGCAGTTACCTTGAGAAGTGATTATATGTTTTAAATGAGAAAATAATATTTGACTAGCACAGTGGTGGCGAACCTATGGCACGTGTACCAGAGGCGGCACTCAGAGGTCTCTCTGTGGGCACGTGTGCCATGCCCTGGAGATGGCAACCGTCCCTCTTCAAGCAACTGCCTGCTACCTCGCCGAGGTCCCACGTGGCCAGATGCATCCCAACATGTCTGGTTTCCCTCCCCTCGTCCCGTCCCTCCTGGCCTCGCATGCTCTCCTTTTCCCAGGGACAACTCATTGCATCACCTCCTCAGCTGTCGGCTGGCCGTTGAGGTCAGAGCAGCTTCTCTGAACTGCTGGCAGTGGGCTGCAGAGCCCCAGAGTGCTGTGGCTGCTGACGGACACCCTCGGCCCCCATGCATTTACTGGCCTCTGTGTATGGGGCCGATGGTGTCAGACAGCAGCTGGCCTGGCCCCTGCCTTGCCTTGCCCTGTGGCAATGGCAACCCCGCCCTGCCTCGCCTTCTCTCACCTCGCAGGACAAGCTCCTGCCCACCGCCCCGCCCAGCAGAGACCCTCTGGATCTCTCCCAACCCTGCCCGGCTCCCACAGGAGTCCCTGCCCACGAGCAACATCGAGGTGACCATGCCCACCTTGGCCACACCCACCCATTCTGCCATGACCACCACAGCCACACCCACCCAGTGGGCCACACCCACCTGTCACCTAGTGATAAATAAGTGGGTTTTGGGTTGCAGTTTGGACACTCGGTCTCTAAAAGGTTCGACGTCACTGGACTAGCAGTTTTACATTACACTGGTGTTTGGAAATATGTCAATGAAGATTCCCAGTACAGTTGTCTGGAAATTGAGTCATGGCAACTAAGAAGCTACTAGACTAAGCAGCGAAATGTTTCAAACCAAAAAAGAAAAGAAGTTCAGTTGCCATGACTAAACTTCCAGGTTACATTGGTATTATGTTTTTCTACTGAAATATATGCTTTTCTACATATATCAAGCATACTCAATATTTTCAAAGAATGCACATTTTGCTAATGTACAGACTCATGCATTGCTTGGCTTGAAAGTTGTACAGTATTTTCACAAAGCTCAGGAAGCTCAAAATCTCCTAAAAGGAATTACTACTATTAGCAATTAACAATGGTTTCTCTATATAAAAGATCTGTACTGTGGTAAGAAATAGAAATCCATTTTAATGTGAGAAATAGAAGGAGTCTTTGGCAACAGATTAAACAGAATGGCTTGTTTTAAATTCAACTGAAATAGATAATCCATTTACCAGCAAGATGACCTACTTTAAAATAACTGAAGTACTGTGCTGGGATCATGCTAAGATGGTTTTTAAATATTTTTTACTGCCTAGCTGGGAATATTAACCACATACATTTAAAATAAAATATTTAATTTTATTCAACTGTACTAAAAAAAGGAATTGCATTTATGAAACTGCAATAGCAAAATCATTTATATGGATTTACTTATATGGATTTATAATATTGTGTTTCCTTTATGCTTCAACTTACATTTTTACTTAGGAGCGAAAAAGATGCCACTGTTTTTAAATCCATAGTATTTTTAAAAGTCCAGAGAAGAATTAGTAGGATATTAAAACAACTGCAAGTCCAGTGCCAGAACATGACAAGTGTCAACATCGTCAGCAGATTGCTGCTGCTATTAACATCTTTGCTATTAACATGTTTGCAAAGGTAATGAGGAAGCATCTTGACAATAAAACTGATCAGAAACGGCATCTGCTTCTTTGACATTTTAAATACTTGGAAGCTCTTAATATGAACACTGAAGGCATATGTAGTAGAGTATTAAAGACCTTTAAAATTCATTTTAAACTGTCTTTAAATACAAAGCAAATATGCCAATGCTCTCAATAACTCATGCTTTTATTTATATTCTGACCATTTTTCTGATGGTTTAGAACAGGGCTTTTCAACCTTTTCACCCATTGTACCACTTTTAGGATATGGCAACATCCGAGTACCACCAGTCGCCTAGCAAGGTGTCAAAAACCTGATGGCCAAAAAAATAAATAAATGAAAAAAGTGATAAAGTACAGGTAGTCCTCGACTTACAACAGTTTGCTTAGTGACTCTTAGAAGTTACAATGGCACTGAAAAAAGTGCCCCCCAAGCCACAGCTGAGCAAGACATCTGCCTGCCCACCCAGCGGCGCTCTTCCTCCTGTCCGAGGTTTTCATTGTTGTGAGCATTTCTGTTGAGGATTGGCAGTGGGGGTGGGGTGGGGGGATGTTTGGTTTTTATTCCCCCCATCTGCTGGGTGGTTGCAGAAGGTTTTGGTCACTTCACATGACCCTGGAACACTGTGACCATCATAAATATGAATCAGTTGCCAAGCATCTGAATGTAAATCACAAGACCCTGGAGATGCTGCAACATTCCAGTTGATCGGCGCTTCTTCTGGGCTCAGCAGAAGCATCAGGATCAGCGCTGAGCTCCAGCTGAAGCCTGGCACTGATCCTGCCGCTTCCACTGAGCCCTGACAGCCCCGAAGCGCCGATCAGCTGGAAAGCGGCACTGATCCTGGCGCTTCCACTGAGTCCTGACAGCCCTGCAGCTCCAGCCATCTCTCGCCCAGGCTTGTGCGGTGCTGCCACCGGTTCAGCTCATTCCCCTCCCCCGCTACCACTTTTCTAGGATGGTCGCGTACCACCTGCCAGGTGCCAATGTACCATAGGTGGTACCCGTACCACTAGTTGAAAAGCCCTGGTTTAGAAAAATGCCCATATTTAGAATCTACATATTTAAGCACACACACAATCATTTTCAGAAGATACAAATGTGACATCTTTCTATTTATATGTATATGCAGCTTCTAAAATTGCATTTGGGAAAGCATTCAAATGTCAGCATAAGTTGACTTAAAATAAAAATATTTATCATGAAAAATACAGTTATTTTATCATGGAAAAAATTACGAGTTAAATATTCCTATACCATTCAAGATCTGGTGATAGAATACTATATGCAATTTTGTATTTTACAAAGAAAAAAAATAAGGCATCATCGTGTTTGCAATTGTTAAAATTAGTGAAGCTTTTTTTTTTAGCTTAAATATGTGTGCATTTAAAGTTTTCAGAATTGCTCACTTCTATTTGTCCACTGAATTGGTAAAACAAAACAAAAACCTATGGCAATATTATAAAATAACTTTTTATTTGCTAAGTATTCAGTGACAAACTTTGATCTATAATTTAAGTTACTTATGATCAATGTTATTTTAAAAATAATCTTCAGAAACC